TTTTTAATCTGGCCGATACAGCTCCGTCGCATTCGCGCCGCGAGTAATAACTCGCGCGAACTTCCTCCCGGTGATCATGGGCCCATTGGTGGAGACTTCTTTGATAAGGTTCTGGAAGAGTCTAATGCGGGCACCGACTTACCGACTTGGTATGTTTCTACGGATCGTAGATCAGTTGCAGTACTCAGGGATTGTCTGTAGGAACGGTGAACTGTACCTCGAGGTGAGCTAGTTTCCCTTTACATGCTGTCGAGCTGACCATAGCGCTGTAGTTCCATCGAGGCACCTATACCAGCCATGGCTCGATCAAAAAGGGCAACCGCAAGTCTGAGATTCTCCTCCGAGATGTCGAGGTATGTCCCCTTCTTACCAGGTGAAGTTCAGATAGCTGATGTACTGCCGAAGCACGTGGCAACGCTTGCATCGTTGTACAGATACCACAAGCATGATTACGAATACCCCAAGGCTAAGATTGATGTCTGCTGGGAGAAGGTGCTGTTGAACCAATGTAAGTACCGTCATGATCTCATAGTTCGCGAGAGATGTACTGACGGCTGCCATAGTCCATGATGGTGAGTTGCAAGGTCATGCATCTACTCGAAGTTTGTTAGGCTGATCGACCCCTGCAAATCAGTCCTCCCTGGATCTGCCATGTAAGGACTATCCATACTCTTGTTTTCGCCTCTTCTGACCAATGGCATAGTGGCATGGTGTACGACGACGCTGAGAAGCTGTACGCCGAAGTGCGCGAAGACGGAGAAGCTTTGTTTCAAGAGGCTACAGAAGTCCTTTTGCCGAAGGCACTGCCGCTTACTGCTGCATCGTTCAAGGCACCTGGCAATATCGTCGGCATCAACACGACGTTCTTCCCACGCCGCGACATTGTCGAGGTTCCGCTCTCCGGGGTGCCCACGCATCTTAAGGCGCAGGTCGTGCAAACGAGCAAGGATGGTGCGACCGGCTATGCTCTCCTGAACTGTCCACAGGGCAATCATTTGGCGAAGCCTATTGGGTTCTACGCGGATTGCATGCCAGTATCAGGCTCGTATCATCTCAGTCGGAGCTGAGCTGAAGCTGACGAAAAGATAGTGTTCACTAACGGCTCGGACCACTTCGTGCTTCGCAACTCGGCTGTGCAGCTCACTGTATCGAAGGGGAGGATTACGAGCCTATACGATATCGTACTCAGGTATGTCCGTGTGGCAGTTCCGTTTCTGCCCTGGGTCTGACACATCTTGATAGTCGCGAGTTGATCGCCAAAGGACAGACCGGTGGCCTTGTCATCTTTGAAGATCGCCCAAACTACTGGGATGCTTGGGGTGTGTAGGGTCATCTCCTATTGATCTTCTCTAACAGGGTTGCTCAGATGTCGAAATCCACCACCTGGAGACCGCTCACCAACTCGAATTTGCTGATACCTCGGTCGTCTCAGAGGGACCACTCCGTGCGTCGATCAAGTCTGTTATCAAGTACGGCAAGAGCAAGATTACGACCACTGTGAGTGACAATATACCTTGCGTTCAACGAGCTCGTTGACCCTGGAGGCGCAGATCTCCTTGGACGCTATCACTGGTAAGGGACAGACTATCAGAATCAAACCATGGGTCTTCATGCGATGTTTTAGCTACGACGAACATCCGCTCTCGTCCGCTGATCATCTTTGACGCCGTCGTGGACTGGCATGAGCGCCACGAGTTCTTGAAGTGTATGTACCGGCTGCGGATAAACGAAGTGAACAATTGCTGATATCTAGCGCAGTCGAGCTCCCACTGGATATACGTAACGACAATGCGACGTACGAGACGCAATTCGGTCACGTCCAACGCCCGACGCACAACAATACAACCTGGGATATGGCCAAGTTCGAGGTCTGCGGTCACAAGGTGAGCCTTTCGCCCTTGTATTTCTCTCATTCGTTCCTCACCAAATTCTCTGCAGTACGCCGACTTAAGTGAGTTCGGCTACGGTGTTGCGATCTTGTCCGAAAGCAAGTACGGCTTCTCGTGCCGCGGAAACGTTTTGCGCATCTCCCTGTTGCGCGCTGCCACCGCTCCAGATGCGGAGCAGGATCAGGGAAAACATGAATTTAGCTGGGCCGTTTTGCCGCACGAAGGGTCTTTCCTTGAGTCAGATGTCCCAATCGCAGCGTATCTGTTCAACTCTCCGCTCCACGGTGCGCATTCGCTCTCGTGCCATGTCATGCAGGCTCTAACGTGTACCTCGCAGTTCGGTATGTCCCGGGTGACGCGATGGCCTACCCGCTTGCGCAAGCCCAACAGCCCTTCAGGCTTGAGAAAGTGCGCAACGTCTTCCTAGAGACGATCAAACGGGGCGAATACGACGACTATGCTGCCAAGATCGATGACGACAACGCCAACGTGAGCGTCTTGCTCCGGCTGTACGAGGCGTACGGCGGTCATGCGCGCTTTAAGCTGCGCATCGGCGGGAATATTGCACGTGCGACCGTCACGAACCTGCTCGAGGACGAGATGGAGGAGCTACGTATCATGAAGGAAGGCTCTGGCGCAGACCCCGGCGACGGAATGACGATCGTGCTGGACTTCCACGCATTCGAAGTGAAGACATTAAAGTTTGTCTATGAGCAGAAAGCTTCTGAGGACATGTATGTGCTCCTTTGTCTGTCCTGTTTGGCTATCTTACTGAAGTTATTCCAGGCCCTCGCTCAAGCCGGACGGCTGGCTCGTCGTTGAGTGATCCGTCACGTCGAGCACTGTACAGCAAAGTGGAAAGTCTTCTGGAAACGTTTTTGCTTACTTGCTGTATACTACCAAAGATATAACAACATTATATACCCATTCCGCGCGTTGTTTAACTATTGCTAGGCTGCAGACGTAATTTGTTTAGGTTTATTAGGATCCCAAGGCGTCGATTGCCATTTCGGGAATCCTCTGTCTGTACGTTCCCACGTTTGAATGGCGATTGGTTAGGGCCAAACGTTAGCTGTGCGAGAGCGATGGAAGCAGACTAGACTACGACACTTGGGAGGATTCTGCGGAACTGCCAGTGCAGGCTATTGCACCGCAGGACTTAACTTATGTTTGTAATCTTTATCGATAAATTAATAAAGAATTCTCGCAGATAATTCCCCTTTGGGAATGCTGCATACTCCACCTCTCGCCTACTCGCTCGCTATGAACGTGCTCAACGCCGACCTTCATGAGCTCTTCTTCTTCTAGCCGTCGTAGTCGCCGCGCGAGCTCATCAAGTACTCATTCCACGACGCATGCCCATCGGCAGCCGAAGTGGCGGAGCCCACACCTTGCTGCACAGCCGGCAGTTAGTATATCCAAAGTGTTCGCGCAGCCGCTTCAGGCTTCCCCACTGCGCTCTGCCATCGACACCGTTGCGGGATTGGACGACGCTGTGAGTATCATGAGTGAAGGCGAGTCGACGCGAAAGGGAGAGCGTGCGCTTTCGATGGGGAGTGATGTAGATGCGGCGGATATGCTTGGGGAGGACGCGGGGTCGGCTACACATTCTACGCCGGATATGGCGGTGTTGAAGCAAGGTAGGCAATATAGATGCATACGGATTCGCAATTCTATTGCATTGACTATTGTCCGACTCATTGTTCATGCGGCTATTACAGATAGCGCTATTGACAAGGTGGAAGGACAGCAAACAGACCTCGAGGTACCAACGGGAACCCTGCCCTCGCCTCCTCGTCAAGAATCGCCTCCAGATTCGACTACACCGTCGCTCACTAGTCCACCTGCAAGCATATCCGCTGCCGTTCCACTTCCCGTCACACACCCGGCAGATTCGATGAAGTCTTCAGCATTATCTAGGACACCAACCAAGCCCAGCTCGTGGCTCGGCTCATTATCGCGATCTCTGGGAGGCAGCTCTGAGAGGGACGTCTCGCCGCCGAGCACACAGCCTGCGGATGCAAGTGATGCGCCGGCTTCCCCGCAGTCGCAATCAACATCGATGCCTGCTGTTACTCCGACGACTCCACCAAGCCTTTCAGATTCCCCACCTGCCACACGGCCGACGAGCACACGTACAGACAGTGCAGCAACATCTGGGATATCATCTATAGACGACGAGGTGCCGCCGCCAAAGTTCCCGCTTAGCGGAGGTATCGTAGATCAGGGTGGGTTTAGAACACGTACATACACGGTTTCTCGTACTAAATTAGGAGCAGAGCATGCACTAGCGCAAAAACTCTCGATGTCAACCCTCAACCCATCTGCAAATAGCGTGTCGTCGCTCAATCCTTCGTCATCAAGCCGGTTCATGCTTCGAATCCCCTTGCTCGGTCGACCGAAGATGCCGTTGGACCGAGCCGTCGCTCAAGCCGCTGCCGACGACGTCAAAGTTCCGGAAAGGAGCGAGCAGAAGACAAGTTCAGACGGCGAACATCCAGCATCTTCACCTAGCACGCCCGTGCCGCAGGTCATTGTCTCTGTTCCTTCCGCCATGAACCTCGCTGCGGAAGCAGATGCAGACGTCCTCAACCATGTCGCATCGCTGGCAGGTTCTACAGAACCTACTAATTCCGTTCCTACTGTCTCAGAACAGCCACAGATGGTCGAGGAGAATGCCAAAGAGCCGGCGCCCGCCCAGCCAGCTCCGTCTAGCTCATCATGGTGGAGCTACCTTGGCTATTCCGAAAGCTCGACGGAGGTTAATGCTAGTAGCTCTGATCAGAAGCTTGGCAACGACCCAAAGCCTTCGCAAGACGAGAAGGCGGAATCTGCTGGGGCACCAACAGCTGAGAACACACAGCCCGAACCTACTCAAGCCAGCTCTTCAGATGAGAGAACTCGACGCAGATCTACACCTGACACCTTGGCCTCCCCTATCTCCCCGTCTGTTTCCTCGCTAGCTAAGCGGCATTCGTCTGAAGTCTCGCGCGCTGAGATCAAGGAGATCCACGACAAGGACGAGTTCGAGAAGAAACAGACGCCGTCGTTGTTCTCGGCGGAAACGTCGAAAAGCCAGGGTGCCGCGTGGTATTCGCCGTGGAGTTGGTACGCCGCAAGCCCAATCGTACCGTCGAGCTCGACATTGGCCGATACTGCGTCAGGAAGCGAGGACACGCTGCGCGGTAAGGGCGAAGAAGTGAGCCACCAGAAGACGGAGAGCGAGATGGTGAAAGAGGAGGCGCTGGCACGGGACGAGGCGAAGGAAGAGGCGAAGGAAGAGGCGAAGGAAGAGACGAAGGCAACTGAAACGGCCACTGAACACCGTGAAGCACCGCCGGTGAGTGCGCAGCACGAGCCGGCATCGCCTTTGAAGAACCCAATCGAATCTTCGATATCCACCAACCGCGAAGGGTGGATGTCGTTTCTCATGTCGAAGGCGATGCAAATGAAGAGCATCACGAACGGCGAAGAAACGAAGCATGATGCGAACGGGATGGAAGTTATGGACATTGAGGACGACAGCGAACCCGAAGAGGGCCGGGCGTCTGAAAAGAAAGCTGAGGACGTCAAAGAGGAGCCGACCAAGGAAGCCAAGACCTCCTCTGCGCCGCCTTCGCAGGCAATAACAATTGTCACAGGCAAGAAGAAGTCCAAGTTCTCGCCGACGAGCCCCTCGACGGCGTCGCCGTTGAACAACACCAAGTCGCCTCCCGCGCCGCCTGCCCAGAAGGAGCGCGAGCCGAAGAAGAGCGGCCCTCCTGCGCCACCGTTGACAGACTCGGAACAGATCAAGAAAGATGCTCTGAAGGACAGGGGGACACGCTCCCCGTCCCCGGCACCATCCAAGGCCTCTTCGACGGCTCCGCGCAACGCGCCACCGAATCTTGTCTTGCCCACCTGGCAGGACACGTTCATGTCCCCGCCCCGCTCAAATGTACCACCCCCGCCTACACCACCAGCAACTCAGCGTGGCGCGATCGGAAAGACGCTGCAGGTGCTCAGCGGCGTCCTCTTAGGCGGCGGCAAGGATGGAGACAGTGACCGAAGGAGCGTGAAGGGCAAGGGCAGGGAGCGCGAGGAGCCGAACACCTACATCCACTATGGCATGGAGCTGCCCAAGGCGTTTGACGTCTTGGGCCATCCGTTCGACGCCGCGTCTCTCAACGAGAAGTGCAGGGTTGTCGTGATCGGTGTTGCGGGATGGTCACCGGGTACGCTGCTCCCATCTCTTTACTCCGGCGTCTATCGCTCTGACCGACGATGTTTCTTTTCCAGGTGCACTGACTCGGACGCTCGCAGGAGGCGTGAGTTCGATCTTCCTCTGTTCACAAGCCTATTTCACTGATGTTGCTACTGATCACCTCAGTTGCCGTCCTCGAGCAGCAAGTTTGTGGATATGACGTGCACAGCGCTCGAGAAATTTGAGGAGACGCACGGGCTCAAGTTCCAGAAGGTTACCAAGATCCCGCTGGAAGGTGATGGTACCATTGAGCGCAAGGTCGCCAAGTGAGTCTTGGTTTCCCGATTTCGTGATCCCGTGACTGACATGGCGTTTGCCACAAGGGTCCATGCGCACTTGCTCAGTAACGACGAGTGGGTGAGCGACCTGCACGCGGCCGATGCTATCTTCTTCGCGACGCACAGTCAGGGCTCGGTCGTCTCGACGCACCTTCTCGAACGGCTCCTCAATGAAGGGCATATCCTCACGCAGAAGAGTATGGATATCATCACCCGGGCCGCGGCTGCTGTCGCGCCTGACGGAGTGTCACCGAGCCAACCCGCACGAACGCACGTCCAGCGCGTATGCTCCCTTGCGCTGTGTGGCATTCACCTCGGCCCACTGCGATATTTGAGGACAAGCTCGTTATTGCAGCCGTACATTCAGGTGGGTCTGAGTCTCCTTCCCTCTGGACGCTGGAACTGACAGGCGTTATGTACGCAGTACTTTGAGAATGCAGCCGCGCGAGAGTTATTTGACTTCCAGAACACGGAATCCGAGGTATCACGCAACTATGTCAAGGCGCTGAACACGGTGATGGATCACGGGGTGAGCGGTTCATCTACCTCCGCTCTGGCACCTGATAGACTGACGGTGCGGTTGGGTGACGCAAGTCGAAGATGGTGTATGTTGCGTCCCTTAACGACCAGGTCGTGCCCGTCTACTCGGGCATCTTTGCCTCCGCGTCACATCCTCGCATTCTGAGAGCACTGTACATCGATAGTGACGCATACTCGTACGTGCTCCTTCCAGGCTGAATGCGTGGTCGATGATGTTGACGGTCGAGTAGATCCTCGGACTTCCTTTCGAATCTGCTCGTGCTGCTCATTCGCATCCGGAACTCGGGCCTGTCCGATTCTGGGCTGCTGACGCACCTCTCGGAGGCGACGGCCGGCACGCTGAGTGGGGTGGGACACTCAACTGCGTACGAAGAGTTGGCGACGTATTCGTAGGTGATTTGTGATTAGATTGAGCGAGCGTGTTGCTGATTGCTGCATAGACTCGCTGTTGACTATCTCTTTTTAACCAACGATGGTGGCGATGATGCCCCGGCACTCACGGTCGAACCATTCAACGCTGTGGACGAGCAGAACGATTATGAAATTCCGTGGTCACTTCGTGATCTCATTGCTGACGACCGCGTGGCGTACTTCTTCGCAAAGGAGTTTGCGCAGCTCCGCGATGCATTCGATGATTGGGCGCCAAAGACGTCCATCCTGCGGGACGTCAAGCGCAAGCTGCAGCCTATACAAAAGCTCTCATTCATCAAGGGCAGTGCATTCGGAAGTAGACTATAGCCTATTCTAGCTTCACAGGTATTTGTCTGTATCATACTTCTATGGTTTCGCTGCATCGCCTTCCTTCTCCATCTCTACATGGACGGTTTTCCACTCGCTCACATCTCCCATCGGACCTTCTCCCCCACACGCCTTGTTCCATATACAGCATTCATCCCATCATGCACTGATTTATGTAGATTTAGACTGAACTAATGACCAATGACGACTCAGGTGACGATTACACTCCTAGGATTGAATATTGAGTGGCGACGATCGTGCGCTGGGCTGTGTGCAAACTCCAAGGCCAACCGAATCAGGGCCTCAATGTGGCGCAAATAGTGTCTTATCTGCTGAGGTCTGAGAACCGGATCTAGGTACCTCGACAGATCAAAGATGGCATATCTCGCGTCCAATCCGGGTTCCTGCAACACAAAGTGATCTTTGACAGATGTGATAACTTGCTGGACGGGTGGGATTCGTAGAATGTCAAACAAGAAGAAGAACCAGGGCCTACTCAGAAGCATCTGCTCGCTCTCTCCACCATGGCAGGTGTGCCTTCTATCTGTCTATGAGCGAGATGAGGCCGTGGCTCACTTCCCGGCGATCCGATGGTTATGTCGGAGCAGCTGATAATCAACGCCACAGCAGCGGCCAGAGTAAATACTGCGAGCAACGCCATAGCGCAAAGTAGGGCATGGTACACGCCACTGCCCCGCGGCCGGAGACTAGTAACCCCGAGTGTCCGTTGCCGTTAGCGTCCTTGCAAATTCGGCTACTAGACAGACGGACGGACAGACTTCCCCTGATCGCAGGACGATCCTCTGAATTGCACGAAGAGACGAAGCAGCGCATACTTCGAAGCCTGTTGCGGTCAGCTGAAGACCACCGGCGGTGCACCTGGGATATTTCTGTGCGGATCGGCCTCGTGTTTTGGGGGCCGATAGTGTTGCTGGGAATAGGCAGCGGCCGGGAGTGCATCGACGGGCGACCGTAAACCCCGCTTTGGGAGCGCAGATGCCAAAAGTTGGAGGTGGTGCATGGTAGGGGATTTAGGTGCGGAGTTGCAACTCGTCCCACGGGAGGTGCGGGGAAAGGCACGCTTGGCATATCCACCGAGCACAGCATCTGCGCGGCGAGCCAACATCCGTATCACCATCCGTGATAGATGCCACGATCCCGCGGAGGGCACCCGCACTTGAAAGTGTGCCCCTGATAGTTGCCGGACACGAGACCGCGATCTGTCCATGCCTGCGCTGCAGAGCCTTGCGACAACACGGCCGAGATCTGTGATGGTTGGAGCTGCATTGCCGCAAGAAGCGAAGGTACGTGGTCCCCAGCGCAGAGGATCAAGCGTTCCGGACGTCAGCTCAGCGAGTCGGAGAATGGATGCATCGGATATATAACCTGCGTGCTACACCGGTCCTGTGACTCTATACCGCCCGGCTCATCCGCGTTTCCAGCAAGCGTCATTCCAACATGCCGGCGCCACAAACTCTAGGCACGACTCAGGCTCGCAGGCCCATTCTGGAACATGTGTCAGTACACCCTCGGTCTCCCACGGACGTGTGCTCACCGCTTTGACCAGAAACCTGATGATGGACACAT